GAACAAGTAAAAACCACACGGCCGCTCTCGTCTGGCCCCCCACCGATAGTCAGGAAGCCCTCAGGCGGTAAATCTTCAAACACTTTCCCCAGATCAACACCAAAACCCCCCTCCTTCCCCAGAGCCAATTCTACATTAACATCATCAGTGTCAAAGCCTGCAGTCCAGACCTCTGGGACTCCTCTGAACGGTGTAACAGGAGGACCGTTCTCTCAGCACAATGGACATCTTGGAATTCATTCCAAGGTGCGAGGAAAAAGCCATTCGCTGGAGTCCTTACAGCGGAGGAAGGATCCCGTCTGCTCTTCAACCTCCACCACCACAACTACTACTACGTGCACCTCATCAGAGTCGGGTGCCTCCTCATCTTACAGTTGGGATGGTGCACGAGATCACTGGGCTAAAGCCAGCTCCAGTCCTCGAGCTCGCACTATGGCCACTTTCAACTCCCTGATGGGCCGCAGTCTCAGCCTAGGTGACCTGAGCCACTCTCTTCAGACCACACAGAAGGTGGAACGCATAGTAAAGGAGGTGAAACGTCGAGGCCTGAAGGCCGTGTCCGAGCGCGATCGCAAGATTGCAGCTCTGATGCTCGCCAGATACCAGGAGGAAGACATCATGAGTCAGACCCGCTACGTGGCTCACCTTCAGTGGGATAGTGAACGCAGAATGGATGAGCTGCGGCGGGAACAGGAGGACAGAGAGAAGCAGCGCGCAGTGCTTCAGTGCCAGCGGGTGTGGCAGACCCAGGTGTCGATACGTCAGCGACGACTCAGCCAGCAGGAGCGACAGTCAGCAGCTGCCAAAATGCGTCAGGCTGAGGAGAACGAGGAGCGATGGAGGGAGCTTGCGGAGCAGCAGGAGCGCAACCGTCTGCTGAGGTTACAGCAGGCAGCTCGAGAGGAGAAGCATAAGAAAGCTCTTCAGGAACAGAACCTGAAGGCCCTGGAGGAGGAGCGGGCAGCCATGCTGGAGCAGGAGAGGCTGCTGCTGAAGGAGAAGCTCACCATGGCCGAGCTGAAGAGGCAAGAGAAGGAGCACCAGGCCCAAGAGGACAGACGAGGTCTGAACAAAGCAGAGAAGAGACGTCACGCTGCTCTGATACAGGAGATCGCTCGCAGAGAGCAGGAGGAGAGGGAGGAGGCCAGGAGGGCGGCAGAGGAGAAGCTCAGCCGCTCCCTGGAGAATTACGAACAGATAGTTGAGCGTCGAGGGCAGGAGCTGAAAGAAAAGGCCAAGCGTGAGGAGAAGCAGATCCAGAAAGCACGCAAGGCAGCAGAGAAACGTGAGAAACAACAGCAGCAGCTTCTGGAAGCTCGCGTGAAGGAGGCAGAGAAAAGAGCCCAACAGGCAGCTTTAGTGGCCGAGGAGAGGGCCAAGGAGAAAGCTCAGCGGGCAGTCCAAAGCCGGCAGGAGAAGGAAAGACTCCAGAGGCTCAACAGGCAGCGAGTGGAAGAGGAGGAGAAGCAGAGACGTCTGGAGCTGCTCCAGTCCATCGAGAGGAAGCTGGAGAAGAGTGAGCAGATCTTCAAGGAAAAGAGGGCGGTGCTGGAGAGCGCTCGCTCTGTTGCGCGAGCCTCTTTTCATGTACGAGACAAAGTGCGGGAGGAGACCAACATGCGTACTTTTGATAAAATGGCCCTGGAAGCTCAACTCAAAGCAAGCCTGGATGAGAAATAAACCCATAGCTTTGTCGTGGACTCCTTACTTCTGGTCATGTGCTTGGCTCTAGCCTTCATTGTGGCCCTCATCACTCAACAGCTTTACCCTTTTTTCCCATAAAGACCCACAATGTTATTTTTTCCTTACATATCTTCACCCATCAACTGGTTTTAAATGCATTTTTGAACATCAGTTTTTGTTATAAATCAAAGAAACCAAATTATTTTGTATCATGGATGTAATGAGACTACAAACTACTACAGCTGTTGCAAATGAACAGTAAAGCCTGTATGGGACATACAGTGGACTTCATATTCGGTGAGAGTATAGAGAGAGCTGCCTTGTGCAGCAACACAACCCCTCCTCTCTCCTCCTCTTTGCCCTCTGCTCCATCTATCTCAGCTACTGGACTGAAAGCTGTGCAGGAATGAAAAGAGTCATTGTTTACCAGGAAGCACAACTCCATGACAACTGCAGAGGCTTTTAAGGGAGCACTTCTATAAGGGGAAAACTAAGCGCAAATGGTTCTCGACCCCCAAAGCAAATGAGGGATCCTTTTGTACACATACTGTGACACAGCTAGATATAGCATGGAAGTAAAGCCCTGGGCTGGACACTTGTCTGTACGTAACCGCTGACAATGCAGCACAGGAAGACCACGTGCACAAGCCCTGTGCTGATGAAGCATCAGAGGACGCTGATTCCTGCAGCAGGGGCCGTTCTCCCTCCCTCCTATTCCCTGCAAGGACTCTCTCTCTGTCTCTCCTCTTCATGTCAGTGAAGCAGTGAAGCGCTCTGAGGGACAGCCACCTTTCGACTCCCCCGCAGTCGATCTATCTGCTCCCAGCACAGCCGCCTGGTGACCGAGTCAAGGTCAACAGGTACAGGAGTTTTTATTGCTTTTTTTTGTTATGCAATGCTTTCTGTTTTGTACCGTGCTCTCGCCTTTCAACGATTGCAATTAAAAAAAACACACAACAACCCTTGATCACGCTGACCCCGACATGTCAGTGCAGAGAGAGAGATGCATTTAGTCATGAGCCGACATGCAAGCCAGCAACAGGCTTTAAAGGCCTCTGGCTGTGCTAATCCTACAATCTCTCAGATTAAAAAAAGAAAAGGGAGATACACATGGGATTTTGCCCTCCGATGTAGCAGTTGCCATAGCAATAGTAATCGGGATGGAGCAGCGAAAGGTGAATGACTGAGCAGAGATAGTGCGTGGGAATATGAGGGGGTTGCCTGTCGGGAGCTGGCTCTCCGGCGGCTCACAGGGCGTTATTGGAAAAACACGCCATCGCTTTGTTATAGTCACATCTGTGTGAGGCAAAGAAATTACTGCACCATTCCCCCTCTTCACTCATTCAGGGAGAAATCCATTTACAACCTTCACCTACAGCAGTCCCTGCAGCACATCTGCGGCCAGGGAGTAGACTGGGCCGAGCATTTCAGACAGACTGATACCTGCTAAGGTCACTAACTGACTGAGATAAAAGCCAGAATGAATTTGAAATGCGGCATTAGACCAGCAGAGGACTGACAGGCTTATGGCACTGACTGAGCCACGCTGTTCCCACCAGATAATCATGGGGAGGTGATGTAAGGTTAGAGGGATGAGACGGCAGATTTGTAGGCACTTATGACAGTGACTGAAAAGAGAAAATGTAGAAACGGTTATATTAAAATGCAGCAACATTATAAAAGCTGCAGTAGATCCCTCTTTATTCTAAATAAAAAGAAAAACAGTAAAACAGTAGATCAGAGAGGCAAACTTCAGACTTTTGAGTGAATTTATAATCTGACCGAATTTAAGATTTGACAGTTTTTGAAAAAAAACTTTAAAAACATTATATGTTAATAATGGCATTAGTTATTTATGTGTGTCAAAGCGAAACACTGTAAAAGAAAGTACAAACAATGCAGTAAGTGGCTTATCTAAAAATCCAACAACAATCTAACCAAGCTCATGTTGTATATTCTTATCTCCAGACAGACTCACTGGACTGGCTCAGGTTACACTTAATGTGTAATGTAGTTTAATTTAACATTTTATATTTAATAAATTGATTTTTCAATAAACCACAAGAGGTTGCTCTCACTGTCCAGCTCACCCTCAAGTGGCTTATTGCTTTTATATTGTCATGATCACACTGACCAGCAAAACTCTTAGATAAATAAAATAAAAAAAGATATAATATAATGAAAAGATATATATACATATATATAAGGCTATACATGATATTTTTCTATAACATTCAGGAGGATCTATTGGCAGAAATGTAATCCAATATGCACAGGTCTGTTTTCGTTAGTGTATAATCACCTGAATTTGGGAATCGTGTTTTTGTTATCTTAGAATGTAGATAGGGCCCTCCATGTTATTTGCACGGCTAGAAATCCTACACGCTGGTCCTTTTAAGATCCTATCTTGTCCACACTCATATTTTAAGATTCAGTCAATAATGTTTGAAACACGAACTAAAAGTGAAACACTGAGCAGTCAATGTTTTATTAGGGTCTTAAATGTCTTCAGATACATAGAAAGTGCACATCAGACTTTCCCCGTTCTGATGCAGAGGAGTTCAGATCCATGAGTCAGTCTTAAAAAGTAATGAAAGTAAACTCCCACAAACAACCAAATTTAAGTTGTTCAGTGTAACAGTACTTTGATTATGAAACGAAAACAGATTGAAAAAGAAAAAGATATTTTATACTGACCTCTTGGATTGAAATAGAAAAAATAAAAAAGTATTTTTTAATCTGGAATTTTTCTCTTCCTATGTTTACGTTAGTTTAAGCCCCCTTTAGCATAGTCCTTTATAAATCCGTATTAAATGGTTTCTAGCACATATTTTTAGTGTGCAATGTATTAACAATTATAACTCCTCATATGAACAAATGAGCAGTTATAGCTGTTGATAAATAGATTAATGAATACTTAAAATATCCTTATATGCATTAACAACTCCACTATAGTGTGTTATAAACCATTTATTAAGTGCTTTTGAACTATTTATAAACGCCTAATGGGGATTGTACTGTGTATACTGACATTATCACGCTCTTATTTTATTTGCTGCAGGTCCTGGTGGTGAACAAGAGCGGGTGATGTAACCTACGATTCTCGTGCCAGAACTTTTCTTCCCACGCTGAACTTTATCACAGTGTAAAACACAGCGAGTCTCTCCTCCGATGGAAAACGCATCCATATCAAGAGTTTGTATTCATTTTAAGCTAGTAACAGTGCCATCTATTGTGCTGCTGAGAACAGGAAACTGAGACAGCTGAGCCAGATGTGAACCGACAGCCTTTTACCTGCATAAATGAAGTGACGTGTACAAGGTTCAAACACAGCTTTATTAGCATCAAGGCATGTTATTCAGTCCATCGTTTGTTCCCTCTTACCTTCCCCTGACATGTGGGCTTCTTTTCTGTATCCTTTCTGTTACAAGTTATCATTTGTACATTATCATAAAATGCTTGCGTCAGTGAATTACATTGAGTTGCTTCGTTGAAGACAGAGTTTCAGATGTAGCAATAATGAAATGGCCGATATCATACACGTCTGTGAGTTCATTGTTTTCTTTAAACCTCTGTTAAAGTAAAGGACACAATCTGTGCATACAATCAAAACCAGAATAATAAAAACAAACCTTTTACAAGATGGATTTGCATTGTCTGTGCTATCTGCTAAATATTTTCTGTATACTTTAAATCTATTATAGTAGGACTTCTTTTTAGAGAAATGAAAACACTAGAAACTCAAGGTACAAGGCTACAGTCACACACTGCCGACTGAAAGCTGTTTACACATTTTGATCTAGGACATGTTAATAATGTCAAGTAACATTACGGCCTTTTATCAGGTGGAGTCCAGAGTCCCAAATGGTCAAATACTCCGTAGTTTAATTAGGACGTTAATGTAGTGCAGTGTAATACCTTACTGAGAGAACAGCTGTTCTTAATTATCATAATTGCTCTCTGGCTAAATAAAGTCTGATGGTGTCTTATCAAACAGTTCCAGGAACTAACAGGACTTTTTCCCACGACAGGAACTTTTCCAGGAACTCAGACAACAAAACCTCATTAACAGTACTACCCTACTACCCTAAATGCAGGTTAAGTTTCTGTTTCCCCAATAGCTTGAGAAAGAAAGAAGGGAGTGGCCGTAGGAAAGTGCTAGTGTGTGAACAAAAAAAATAGTATTATTTGCTGATTGTTTTATTGTGTTGTTAAATACGAGTGAAACACCCAGTAGAGGTTTCAGTCTCATTTTTCACCTCTGCATGTCTCCTTTAAATGTATTCTTTACATCCAACTAGTATATCGGAGTCATGTAACAGTGAATACAAAGAAAGAAAGGAGTATGAAAATTACATTTCAATTGCTGCTGTAGTTTTTAAATCATAAATCGTTCTAATTTGTCTAATCTTCAGGTTTTTTCAGATGGAAACTCTAAACAGGGATGCTCAAAAAGGACTTCCTGAGTTTGGTTCTTGTGGTTCCTGGAACTGTTTGGTTGAAAGAAGCCCATGAGGGGGTCTGAGAACCAGTTTCTAAAGGGTTTAGCCAGTGTTCGCAGAATTAAATTTCGATTGCTCTTAATATTGCAACCGTCGAACAGATTTCTGTGTACAATCATCTACAGTAATTTAACGGTGGGTTTGGGATCAGGATCTCTACAGCACTCACTGTGTGGACTGAGGTAAAGCTAAGGACCATTTCTCCTCCTGTACCTCGTTCTCTCAGTCCTCTGTTTTATTTGTGGCGTCCTTGCGAGTGATGATCTTGTACACGCTCTCTCTGAAGTTGCTGTCAGAGGTCAGTCGCCGTGCCGTCTCCCGCAGCTCCTCCATGCTGTCGTCGTCTGCGTTGCTTACAGCAAAAGACTTGGAGTGTTTCACTGTAACGAGGCAGAGAGAAGAACACAATGAAGTACTTATGACTCTTAACGGGTTCCTCGTTAAATAAAGGAAGAAATTAACATACTACTGATTAATCACTTGTGTGATTTTACAGAAAATTAAGACAAACAGCCAAACTTTCTCTGGTTCCAGCTCCTACAATGTCACTAATTGTTGTTTTCCTCAATTCTTTTAAAATAAGCTATTTGAAGACGTGAACTGGGGCTCTAAAAGGTTCGAATTGAAATTGAAATGTACACTGCATCACTCATATTTCTCATCCCTACTACCACTGCAGCTACAACAGGTACAAGTGATACTACTTCTATTACAGCTACCACAACTGTACTACAAGAACTACATCCATTGCTACCATAACAACAGTAACAGTAATTATACTGGTACTACATCTACAACTGCTGCTGCTAGTAGTAATACATATTAATAATAATCAGTGCTAATCACTGCCAGTACAAATAACACTACTACTACTATGTTTTAACACAAAGTGTTTTACATAAAAGAAAATAATCACAACATTTACAATAAAGCAGAAGTAAGTACAATTAAATAGGATAAATTTAAATTAAAGACAAGGTTAAATATTTGGATATTAGTGTTTTCCACCTGTGTTTACTAGTACAATCACTACTGCCTTATACCTAATGTTACCTTTATTTGTGCAGTGCATTGGCAAACAACACAAACTTCTCAAAAATACTCCATAGAGACAACTTTAAAATATATATTGGAGTGTTTTTCTGCAGACTTTGAGAACATGGATGAGTTCAGTCATAAAATATGCATGCATTATACAGCGTGTGTGTGTGTGTGTGTGTGTGTGTGTGGTGTGTGTGTGTGTGTGTGAGGGGGGTTGTGATCATTACTGTTTGATGCACAGACTTACGCCAGTGGTGTCTGGAGGCTCTCCTCTGGATCCTGCAGCTCTTGATTCTGCGTGCAGCAGCTTTGTGCAGATACACAGCGTTCTTCATTATCGCTGGAAGCTTCGCCTCGATCTCTGCCGCACAGATACACTCCTCAAAGAACTCTGGTTACAACACACACATCGTAAACACATCATATAATATTCACAGGATGCTAACACAGGTCAATTATTATGTATACTAATACATTTAAGGTTTGGACTGTTTGTGAAACAAAAACTGTGAATGTAACAGTATTTTCTGAAATTGTACAAACCAAACAATCAATTATCAGATTATCCATAAGGAAAATAATTAGTTGCAGTCTAATTGTATATGAAATAGTTAAAAATTAGCTCCACCTCAACCTACTACAACAGTAAAATTCTGCTTTACATGAATGCATGAGTCATAATAGTATACAGTACTAACAGTCACAGGGGAAATTTTTCTGCATAAAGAACACTTCCTTTTATTACTTTAAGATACAGTTTCCTGATTATACTTACATACTTTCTATACTATCACATCTATAACACAATCTACGGTTAAGTCCATCAAAATACAGCTGCTAATGTCGTTCAGGTGTTACTGGATGTTCAGTAACTGGGATAAAACCTCAGTACTGATTTCTATTTCCTGTCAGATTCTTTCCTTTGTCTTTGTTAAATACCTGCAGAGTCACACAGCAGCAGAAACAATAAGCACATCTTTAAATTAGGCATGTGGCGCAGCAGCTTCATTAATACAATGTCTGCAGGTAAATCACATGAGGTCTCCTGGGAATATGAGTCCTTTATTCCTTTTGTTATCAGGCTACTGTACAACAACAGTCCTCAGCAGTATTTTATTTACTGCTGCTAATTGTTTCCCTGTATTGCCCTGTGTATGTCGATATCTTTGCCTCTGACATTTAACTACTTGGCCTGTTTGTTTTGGAGTTGTGTGTGTGGACTAGGTATGCTGCAGATGAATTGCCCTTGTCTTGTCTGAATCTGAATAATTAGTTGCAGCCCTAATCAACTGAGGCAATATCTAGTGAATGAATTTAACAAAATAAAACATGTTTCACTATCTGTGACAGATATCTGCCCAATGTGTTATTGTTTCTCCTACAACCAACATGTAATACAAACTCTGTCCAGAGGAGGGCGGTCACACAGGTGTAAGTTCAGATCTAATTATTGACTTCACATCTCCACTGTCTGTTTAATCTGTATGTGTACAGTGAGTAAATACGATTGAATAAATATTTATTCATGTATTTGACTGGGAGACACTGATGCTATCCATCATGTATCATCACACCAAACTCCATCCAATATTCATAGAATTATGCCTCTAACTTCTCTGACTTTATCAGCTCCCAATGAACTAAATGCATTCTTTCAGCACATATCGGCTCTACCAGATTCAGACATGTTGACAGAAACAGTGAATGCACTCACTCCTCAGCTGAGTCACGTCCCCCTTCATCTTCTCGTCTCTCTCTTTGGTCCGTTCCACCGAGTTCAGGCCTTTCTCTAAGTCCTGCAGGGCCTCTTCAGCCAGCTTCAGTCTCTTCTCCAGCTCCACCCGAGACTCTATCTCTGCCTGAGACACACAGCAAACACACAGGGTGTTAGTGACAACCTCTTTAAGCAAATGAGTTGACTAAGAGGAGGGTTAGATTGATACATTGGATCTTTATGTGGATATTAAGACAAATATTGAGCTTTTGACTCAGCTTAAGAGGACAGTTTACTTAAATTAGAACTGTTTCATGAGGCTTCAAGGAGGCAACACAGCAAAAAGAATGTAATTAGTACATAATATATATTATATTGTACATATATATAATACATATTGACAATGTCCCCATCAATATTAGCCAGTAAAACTCCACTAAACACACATTATCTCGAGTATTATCCCAGAGAGACAACTGACTTGAGGTGACACGTACAACCAGTCAGTAAAGGTTTGGGTATTTGCTCAAGGGCACTTTAACAATACAGAAGTTTCCATCTTATTCATCTCTTGTCTGTGCATTGTTAATAATGCAGTTTGACTGAGGCCTGGAGGAAGAAAGAGTGAGTGAGTTGATGTAAAGAGGTGATTGATAGAAAGAGGAAACAGGTAATTTCATACAGAACAACTGGACATGAGAGGATTTTCTTTTTGTTCCAGTAAGTGTAACGTGATATCAGCTCTTCATGCCAGAGAGACTCAGCATGTAAGACTGGGCGTGAAGGAGGAGGAGAAAGAGGGGGAGGAGGAGGAAGAGGAGGAGGATCTCCTGCTGAACCACCCTGAAGATTTCACAGACCTGATTTAATTAAAATCTGACTGGATGAGCTGCCTGAATATCCAACAGAGGAGGAAGAAGCACTCAGATCTTTTACTAAGTAAAAGTGAAAACACCACAGTGTAAAAATAAATGTCAAACTCTCTCTAAAGCAAAAGTACAAAAGTATTAGCATCAAAATATACAAAAAGTACCTAAAGAAAAAGTACTTTTTAAGCAGAATGGCTCATTTAAGAATTATATATTACTGGATAATAAGTGATGCATCATCATGATGTTGCAGCTGATAAAATGGGACTCATTTTAAATAGCTTATATACTGTTGGGTAGCTTCATCCATAATATTACATCATAATTTATAAGTGATTTATATTTGTATTAATAATCTGAAGTTGAAAAGTAACTAGTAACTAAAGCTGTCAAACAGATAGTGGAGTAGAAAGTAGTAGCTTCCAACGTGTGCAGTAAAAGTATAAAGTAACATAAAATACAACAAAACTGTACTCAAGTATAGTACTTGAGTAAATGTACTGTTTCTACACAGGCAGACTGTAGTTACCATTAAGGATACTGAGTTAATGCTCTAACTGGGGCGGCAGTAGCTCAGTGTGTAGGGACTTGGCTTGGGAACCGGAGGGTCGCAGATTCAAGTCCCACAGACCACAAAATATGGAGTGTGGGCTGGTAGCTGCCAGTTTCACCTCCTGTGCATTGCCGAGGTGCCCTTGAGCAAGGCAACCTAACTCCAAGCCTGCTCATGGGGCGCTGTTAACGGCCACCATCAATCTCCTGTTTGTTTACATGTCCACAAGTGCATGAAAGTCTGTATTATTGTGTGTTGTGTGTGTGTGTGTGTGTGTGTGTGTGTGTGTATAAAAAAAGAGTGAAAAGAACAATTTCCCCTAGGGGATCAATAAAGTATTTCTTCTAACTTACACATGGTGAGGCTCAAACTATTAAACTATTTAGATTCAAAAAGGCTGTTTATTCATTTACAGAAAATATAAATAAAAATTAAGATCCGATTTATTTAGGATTGTGGAAGCTACACTGTGGGGGCCTAAACTTATGACCTGAGTATTTTAAGAGCTACAGCAGCTCGAGTACAAGGACACTAAAAATTATTAAATTATTATTATTGTTTGCCTGATATCTGCCTGCCTAAATGCACAAGTAATGACAAATATAATTTTCACCTGGTCCATCATGATTGTTGTTAGTTCCACCTCCTCCCTCTGAGTCTTGTGCTAACACTAAAGTAAAGGTTGGCCCTGCTAACATTGAGCATTTCTCTCTGTATTTATAAGCAGATAGAATCAAAAATGTTCTTCAATCATTTTCAACTCAACCAATTCTCTTCTTACTCTCTTATCTTCTTGAAAATCCTTCTCCTGAAACAAAAACCCGGCTAGATGATTAATAAAGCGACCTTTAATCTGACTTTGAGCAGTGTTGTGTTGCTGTGTAAACTGGATGCTGAGAGCAGCTGAGTCATGCTGTGTTACCTTGAGCTCGGCCTCGGTCTGCCTCTTGTCCGCAGTGAGCTGAGAGAGCGACTGCTGCAGCGTCCGAGCCTGAGACGAGTAGTACTCCCTCTCCTGCTGCAAGACTGTAGCCCGCTTCTCTTTCTCCATGAGCCTGAGCGAGAGACACACACAGTCAGACACACAGTCAGACACACACACACAGTCAGACACACACGGTCAGACACACACAGTCAGAGACACACACAGTCAGACACACAGTCAGACACACATACACAGTCAGACACACAGTCAGACACACATACACAGTCAGACACACAGTCAGACACACACAGTCAGACACACACTGTCAGACACACACACAGTCAGACACACACTGTCAGACACACACATAACAGCATAAAGAAGCTTGTGCATATCTCTGTGCTAATGAGACAAATGCTCCTGTTTCCAATGGTGAGTTTAATGGTTATGGTTCTATTCGCAGCCACTTTGAAACCCTCCAGGATGAAATGAAGCTGAAAACAAAGCTGTTGTTGCTGTGGATGAAAGTCGACCTTCACTGTCAGGACTGCATTTATCGGAGCCGTGCTGTGCTCACTGAGCTCTACAGGACACAGATGACTGCACACAAACGCACATCTGTACTGTAATTTCAAGGTTAAAACAGAACTTTATCTCAAACAGACCAGTTTTATGTGTGAGACGCTTAAAGAAATGGTTTGACGCTTTGGGAAATTCACTTATTTGCTTACTGTGAACATGATAATACAGCTTATTGTAATTTAGGAAGCTTTTTTTTTTTACAAATTTAACAAACAAGATGTGTTCATTAGGGAGCTTTTTAGATTTAGATTAGCCAACTGTTGAATTTACTCTCTGAATGTCAGTTGCCGTTTTCCTGTTGGTGGTTGTTGTTGTTTTGTGAACAGATTCTGATACAACAGACAAAATGACATGTTCTATAAATAAAATAAAATCTATTTTGTTCTATGTTATTTGGGTTTAGTGGCGGTACAGACGTCCACTTGGACTCAAGGATGAACTCAATAGAATTTCGTGGTCAAAGGTCAAAGTCCCTGTCACTGATATTTTATGATTGGTCAGACAATTTATTGTTGACACTTTTGACTCAAAGGTCAATGGGACATCAAAATGACCTTAACACTTTTTTGGTCATAACTCAAGAATTGATGCGGTAATTATGACAGAACTTTACAAATATGTTCAACAGGATGCAGTGAGGACATTAATTCTATACTTTTTTATCATATGACTGAAAAAAAGACTAAATATACTTATAATTGAAAGAAGAAAAACTATTAAAATACTAAAATTCATACACAAATTGATCTCAAATGTGTAAAATATGTAAAATTATTACGTAATAATTCAGTAAAACTAGGCTGTAATAATAAGTGAAACACTGTACAACCACAGAGAGCTGTTGATTCAACTTTACTAACCTTTTTGAGACAACAGTTTCTGGTATCTTCTGCTGTATCTTTGAATTATTTTATCATGAGCATTTATTTATTATTTATAATTAAATACAACAATATATTAGAAACACCTTTCATGAAAGAAAAAGATGGAAAACATAATTTTATACTAAATATATTGTAGCTGTATCACTGGATAAATATGTTTCTAGTGAAAATACTGTCTAATTTAACTGCCTCAAAACAGATGACAACAGATGAGTCAACATGTAAACAACTAAAGTAATCATCTAAACAAAACCTTTACCTTTTAACCAGTATTTGTTGCTGTTGTTTTAATACAGAAGAGGATCACTTATGTTTTGCATTTGGTATGAAATCTGTTCTGTATGATTAAGGTTGTATATTTCTGTATTTTTCCACATAGATCCAGCTGTATGTCAGTCAGAGGACGGCCGGGAAGAGGAGAGGGAAGGCAGAGAGCTCATGGAAACATGAAGTTATATTTCAGTGTTCATAACAGAGCATTAGTGCTACACAGTCGATAGCAGCTGCTGTAATATCCCACTTACTGGTGCTGATCAATGGGCTGGTTGTTTAGGGATCAATACACATTTCCACTAGTAGTTACATCCTCTGTGCCATTAGCATAGAGGTTCCCTGGAAAGGCTTCGACCCTCTGGATGCCAAAACATAATCGCAGGCTGAAGCCCTACTGTGAAACTATGTATATTATATTATGTGTGTGTGTGTGTGTGTGTGTGTGTGTATATTTATATTTATATATTTATTTATTATATTCACTTCTTTAAAGTCGGTAGAGGTAGAAGTAATGTGGCTTTTTAAGGATTTTAATGTGGAAATTATATGTGTATTTATATGTGTATTAATAAATGTCTGGAGGGGATCTTTAAAGGATTTCTGACTTAAAAGCACCCGTAAATGTTTTCAAGACATAAAATTCAAATGGAAAGTCTGTTATATAATTGCTTTTGTTCTGCTTTCAGGCTCTAAACCAGGAACCCCAGTCTGACGCTGGATTCTGTTTCTGAGGTCTCACTCACTTCTCGTCAGCCTGCTCCTTCTCTTTCACCAGGAGCTTCATTTGCTCCTCAATGTGTCGCAGGTCCTGCAGCAGGTCCACTTCTCCGGGATCCTCGCCGTCTTCAGACTTCTTTGCCGCCTCCACCTCCTTCTCCTCCTGCTCCTTCACCCCCAGCAGCTCCAGAGTCCGCTGTTTCTCCTGAGAGAGCTCCTGAAGGACCCAACAAGAGATTCTCAGTCTCAGTCCTCAGTGTAAACAACTGTTCTGTTTAATGAAATTAACAGGAAAAGTAGGTAAGGTCCATTATGGTTATGGTTATGTGCTTGGAAGAGATATGATTTTATTTGAATTTCTTAACCTTCAGTTGTTTACATTGATCTTTTTCAGATGCAGCAACTCAGCTAAAATCCAAATTTGTGAATAAGTGATACATATTTATATTGAACTATATATGATAGTTACCTTGTACATACACACATATTTTGAGTTCAGAGAGTTGCAGCCACATAAAAAAAGTTTTGGGGGGATTTTTTATGCCTTTATTTGATAGGACAGGTGAAGATAGGAAAGTTGGAATCAAACCTGAGTAAGGACTTAGCCTAAATGGTCCTCTACCTGGTGAGGTAGGTCCTTTTTTGCTTTCTTGCCGAGAGTCAATCAATACCATTTTTATATCCGTCCAGACTATTTCTTGGTCAGAATCAGTGACCTCCTTCACATGTTAATTAGTGAGCTTTAGAGGTGCTGGTAGATGGATTTTGTTACCTTAAGACCTGTTTCCAGTCTTTATGCTGAGCTCAAACAACCAGACAAGTAAGCGAATCAGCATATTTCCCTGACATTAATCTCAGTATTCAGCTGTTTTTCACATGGCTCTAATTCCCTTCAGAGCGAGTGGCATCAATATCAAACTTATTACATTAGCAGGATAATTAAACTATCATCCTCGAAGGTTTGTTACATAACATATTACATCAGCAGTTGTAACATAATCAGAATCGAACCAACTCGTCGATACGATATTCTTGTTACACTGACTGTATCTGTGGATGAGTGATGCTTTACCTCAATGGATTTCTGCAGCATGACGGTTAAACTGCTCAACTCTTCTTTCTCACTCTCGACCCCCTTCAGGGACTGAGCTGTGCCGTCCAGGTCTCTGCCATCAACACACAACAGAAGACAGATCGCATTCATTTACAGGCTTGTACAGCGTAATCGGCCTCAGTTAACATGAATGGAAGGAGTCCTTACAGTTTGATATGCTCCTGCTCTGCCTTCAGCTCCAGCACCACCTCCTCAAACTTCATTTTCTCCTCCTCCAGAACCTGGTTCAGGCGCTCCAGCTCCTGCGCACACAAACACAACACAAAGACAACTATTTCAGAGCCTTTATGTGGGAATGTTTCCCTGATTTTATTCAATCAAATTAAAAGACGATACACACATGTGCATACAATACTGAAGCTCATCAGGAAATCACAATAAAGTCACACGACTTATTTCCACTGTGGTCCTGAAGTCTAGGCTAGCAGGCATGTGTGGAAAGGGAGTGAAAAATATATGCTAATATGATATCCCATTTTATACTAATACGGACCTGCCCTAAAAAGATGTGTCACTATGCTAAGTTAACTCAGCATCCATTTTCATCATAAGAATGAAACATCACACTTGATGCTATTGCATAGCTACATAGTTTAATAATTTAACTCCAATATTACTGATGTTGCTATATAAGAGCATCGTCAAGGATCCTTTATTTCAATACCACAACTGAAACAATTAATCGACTAATCAACTAGTTGTTTTACATTAAATTATTCAGCAACAGTTGTTTTATTAGCAAAAACATTCAAACATTTTCTAGCTCCAGCTTCTCCAGTGTGATGATTTGCTATGTTTCTCTGTTTTATATCATAATAAACTGGGTATCTAATGAGCAATTAAAAATAATGGTTAGTTGCAGCCCCACATATACAGTAAGTCTAAACTAACAGCTAACATTTATGAATATTTGAATGATCTGATATCTTCTTATTCCAAACTCAAAAATATCAACATGCTGTTGCTGTTACGCGACGATGCCAGAGCGAGTAAACAAAGATTCACCTCTCTCTGCGCTCTCTGGTGACTAAGCTCCTCAGTCTCTTCCATCAGTTTATCTGGAGAAAGAAAACCATTAGACATAAGCTCCTTCCGTTTGTTGAACCTTTAATAAGCTCTTTGATTCAGGTGACTTCGCCCATGTTTACCCAGGTACTCCTGCTTCTCCTTGGCCAGCTGCAGCCCCTGAGCCTCCAGGCTCTCGATCATAGCCTCCCCCAGCTGGGCATTCTTCCACGTGCTGTCGGACAAACAGTAATTTTAATGAAACAAAAGGATATGTCAATCATTTTTGGATCGTTTGCCATGAAATTTTTTCACAGACATTTATGGTCCCAAGAGGATTGATCCCTCTTACTTTCATGATCCTTAGACTTTTCCTATTTTACGTATTTGGATGGGTTGTCATCAGATTTGCCACAAACATTCATATTCTCTATGAACTGCACATTTCTGACTTTGGCAAATTTGGGATTTTCTTGTTTTTCTACAAACTAAAACTTCTCCCATCCAATTAATTCTATGATCCCATGAAAATTAGACACAAAGGGGCTTTAAGAATCATATATTTTGTGTGTAAATCCTTCAGAGGAGGAGGGATAATCTGTGCCGGTCAAATACTCACACTTTCCCTGACTCCTGGAGCATCTCCATCCACTGGACCTGCTCATCCTCAGACTCACCAGCCAGGACTATGGTACCCTGGGGGATGGATTCACAAATTTTACATCAGCGCCTCAATAATGGGCTTAGGCTGTAAAATAGACAATGGATTTCCATCTTTTGGCCGCTGAGATAATAAAAATTGATGTAACACAGTGTGCAGTTAAACTCACTCCATTATGTGTCCCATTTGTTGCAGGATTAGGCCGATTTCTCACATTATTGCAGCGATAAAAGTACAATTTAGAAAAGAGCTTAAGTGCTTGGCTCTCCTAGCTGATCTGTAAATTGTTTTTTTGCACTTATTATACTATGTTGCCATTTTTGCATTCATTTGTTGTTTCATTTTGTCTGTCTGCACTTTCAACCATGGGTCTGTCTTAAAATGTACTTTTAAACGTCTCTAAGGCTGACAGATGATAAAGTAATGGAGGAAATATAGCAGTAAATGTGTGACAGGTACATGGTCTTACAGTAAAGTCTTCCAGGTTGACCACGATGGCAAAGGGCATGCCCATGTTTTCATTAGCTGACACCACGCATCCTCCCAAAGGAATGACTCCCTGAGACAGAAACACATCAAAATGTTATTTATAATGTTGTTTCTGGTTAATTATGATTAAAACCTTCTGTTCACAAAAGCAAAAAGTGACCTACACACATAGTTATTTATCTAAAACCTACATATCTCCCACCATCTTCTTCATTTTCTTACAGGTGTACAGAGAAGATGCATCGGCTCACCTTGGGGTGGATGTTGAAGTACCTGTTGGTCTCAAAGTTTTTTTTCTCGCTCTCTGCATAGTAGAGCAAGAAGCTGTCTTTGATGATGAAGAATCTTTGTACCGAGGAAGACAATGAAAGCAGCAGTGAGTCAATCCTGTGGGGCTGAAAGGAACCAACGTCTGCTGATGTTCTTAATATACAAAACTGATGAACAGGTAACTAACTGCAAAGTCTACAAAGTCTGCCTCTTTATGACAACAAGTGATTGGTATAATTAATCTAGAGGAGCTGCTTTTTTCCCTGTACATACCACTGCAGTTTTATTTTATGCTTTCGATCAGCGGGTCCCAACTTTTATTTCTTATCACCCACTAAAAGCAGCACTTGCCACCTCTCAGATTTTGTCAAATGAATGTGAGTTATGAGCTGCAGAACAGAAGAGCGATTTTTCAGAGGCCCAAAAAGGCAAAATGATACTGTATTTCATAATAAAAAAACTAAGATTGTAAACAAAATCAGAAAAATAAACATATTTTTTGTTGTTGCAGAATCCTGTTTGTTCTTATTTCTTACCCCAATAACCACCTAGAGACCCTCAGATTAATACATTTTCGCCTCGTCTTCAAATGTGTTAACAGTAATTTATTTATTTAATATTTATTCAATGTAAATTACAGTAACTATAACATTGGAAAGAGACTTGCTAAACACACACATATCCAGTTATCCTTACAGTATATTGTACTGACTGAGCTAATAAGAGTGTTGTAACCTGGCCTATAAATACAAGTTGTTGTAAGTAAAAGTTAGAGGGACAATGCATTGTGTTACTGATCGGATCAGACGTTGCTTACATTGTGTTTACTTGTCACTTTCATGTTCTGTTATTGTGCATTTTAAGTTTGGAATAAAGTCAACCTGAAACTAACAGATAAATAAATGAGCAGGTATTTGATATATTAGTTAAAGGAAGATTTCAGCGAGAGAGTTGCCAGAGACAGATTTGATAAAAAAAATATTCAGATTCTCTGCTTCAGAGGCCGAGATATCCTGAGCCTTTAATTCCCACAATGCAACTCAATGTCTACCTTTAATTGATGACATCACCAAGGTTTATTTTCTCTGTCGTTAGAAAAACTCCTCTACACTTCAAACACACATTATACAGCCATTTCCACAGGCTGAGCTGCACTTTTTATAACAAGCGCTGCTTTAATTTCACCCACAGGGAAGGTTTTCAACTAACTGCTGTTTTTCTTTTTAAGCTGGTGACAAAAACAAAATCACTGAGCTCAGCCGCCTGCAGTTTGGCACAGGAAACCAAATGAGCATTTACCAAATTCTTTTGACCTTTATGACACAAGCAAATGGCAAAGGTTACGAAGAGTGTGCTGCAAATGGACTCTCTGGATCCACTGTGTATTGTCGTTTTAACTGTTATGTAAACTAAGAGCATTATCATGACATAAGGTACCAATCCAGGCATTTTAACATCCAAATATACAGTCATATCAGGATACACAGGAAACGCCTGTGAGTGTATCCTGTTATTATATAAAGCGATCCTCTAATACACAACATGTCAACAGTCCATGTACATGTCCACTTTCATCATTACATCAGAGATACAATGAATCAAGTCTACAGGTTTTATCCACTTTCAATCAGGAACATAAGAGTCTGCCATAAAAAAAACTTTATGTAATTTGTGATGTGTTTCTAAGAGGTACAGTCACAGATGATCTCAAATACGGCTGTAAAGAAAATGTTAAAGATTTCTCTCTCGGAACAGTAGAATAATCATATTTTATACCTGTGCTGTCAAATAAATCGTCAATTTAACTTTTTGCCAGATTATTCTCTAAGATTTTTGTTTGGAACAGAGGAAAACTTTCTCCCTCATAAACGTCAGAGAAACATCAGATTACCTACAACATCTAGTTTTTAAAGTTCATCCAGGTTTTTACGAGGTTTTACAGGCTGCAGAGAGGCAGATGTTCGTCTTACCAACAGAAAGGAAGACTAAAAAAAACCTCTAAGAGCAGGTCAATCACACCTCACCCTCACCTGCGGGACCACTTGGCCGACGGCCGTCCGAAGGGCCTCTTCCACAGCACCCCGTGCAGCTGCACTTTGGTGCTGATGTCCAACACGTCAGAGTCCGACTGCTCCATGGACGACCAGGGTGAAAACAGAGAGTTTCTGGACGAAGACGAGAACATTATCTCTGGTTTCCCACGCCCTGATGGAAGGTGGGGCCAAAAAAACAAAAAAACTATCAATAATATAAAAAAAAAAAAAAAATGAAGCACAATACAGTCAGTCAATAACAATTACCCCAATAACACACACTCTCTCACACACTCTCTCTCACACACACACACACACACACTCACACACACGCACACAGAGAGAGGTGCGAGTACAGCTGCAGGGACAGCTTCAATACAAAACAGGAAAAGTAGCAAACAAATCCCAATAACTCAGCAGGGTGGAATGATGCAGCTGCCAATATGCTCATCAGCTCGAGGCAGACTGACTGCACAGCAGATGAAAACAGGGATGATAGAGCGAGAGAAAGAGTGAGTGAGGGAGGGAGGAAGAGGAGAGATACTGGGAGGCGATAGGGGAGGGAGGAAGGGAAGCTTTAGGAATGAGTTGCTAAATCTGAAGCGGGTCAATACATTGCAGCCAGTAAAAGCTGTTATTCAGATTACTGTACTCCCAGCAAGCGGGGAGTCTGCATCTCTTGGCAGGTATAAACTCCCTGGTCTCTCCATCCATCACTCCATCACTCCCTTCATCCACTACTCCAGCTGTGAATTAGGAGAACATCTGTGGGAGGAGAGGCGCGGCCGCACGGCTCCTGATAAAGAGGATGGAGAGTCGGAGCGGTTGACATGCAGCTCAGTGTCATCAGTGTCAGATTAATTTACAGAACATGTGTCAGAGTGGATGGACAGCAGATTATAAAGATATTGACAGCTCAGCTTCAACAGGGAATGCATGAGCCTGTAGACGGTTTTTTTTCACAAGTAAGTAGGGGAAAGGGAAGGGAAAGAAGAGCCTCTGAAGCGACGATTTAAGAGAAAAGTCCCACACATAATAACTATTTATTCTTACCTTGATGAATACGAGATGAAAACTGGATAAATGGGACCAACTGCTTTCTATAAACTTCATTTTAATCATCAATTTCAGAGATGAAATCAGGCTCAATTCCACCTGTTAAATCCAGGGAAAATACCACAAGAGTAAACATGCTTAAATCATCAAAGTAAGCATTTTTACCAGTTAAAAAACTTTAATTTAGTCGTCATAAAACACATTGCTTTACAACCGTTTTTCACAACCAAACGTATGGAAATAAGGCAGACTCATTCTGGAATGACAAAATAAAAATAGAAGACACACCTACCCCCACTGAAACTATTACAAATATTAACCTGATCCTAAAACGCTCCCGATCCAAACTGAAACCTCAAATCAGCCCCAATATGTCCGCTCATCTCTTCCTGTTTGTGTGGGAGGAGACGCATCAACCTCCACCTGCAGATATCTGGCAGTTTAAAGGGATCCTATTGTTTACATTTCTCAATTAATATGCAAAGATGTTCTCAAAATGGGATTCTGAGGTTATTGCATTTTAAGATGATCAGAATAACTTTTCACAAGCTCAGGAAAACAGCTGTTTCTACTTTTATGATGATGGCTTTTTCAGATTGATTTTAAAATGGTTGATTTAGCTTAAAGAATATGTTCACAATTTCTCAAGTTTCTCTACAAACTACAGTCAGACGCCAATGTGTCTCCTGCAAAGGTGTGCTGTAATCAGTCCTCTTGTTCATACTGTGCACGAAGATATTCCAATGTAACAGATGGGGGACAGAATCTGCAGTGGTCCTTCTATATAAAAAAAATGCATTCAAACGTTCAGCCAAAGTTAATATGAGGCTTTATCAGCCTGAATTAGACAAATAAAGTTGGTGTCTTGCAAAATTTTAATCTTTTGAAGGCAAATTATTAGCACAAGAAGAGAATTTTGTACATCACTTACACTGGATTCACTGCCAGTATGGACGAAAGAAACCATTACAGTGACCAACAACTCATTATCTGTACATACGAGTAATTTGAGTATCGTCTTAAGACTGACTTTAAAAATTCTTTAAGAAGCAGAAGAACGCTCTCATCCCATAAAAGAACATTTAAACCTTCAATTTATCTGAAAAATTCATAATCACAAAATTTTGAGGTTTTTCACTGGACAGCGACATGAGACCAGAATGTTTGATCTTCATTCATATTATTTTACAACTTTTATAGCGTTCCTGTTCCTTCATCATCCCCAAAAGTCGTCACGTGACAAACGAGGACGAACTTTAAAGGCTTCTTATCATGAATGACATCCTACATGAGCTCACAACAGTTTTGGTTATTTCACATCAGAGATTTGAATATTTTTTGTTCTCTTCTCTCTGGTTTGATGTGGGTGGGGCTCAGAGGGAAAAGGGTCACTTACTTTCATGCACCAATCAGTTTAACAACATTTGAATCGAACAATGACGACGCAATCTGATCAAATCACGTCCTCAGTCCTGATGAAGCACATAAGCTTGAGAGGTTTTAAGCTCCTAATAAATAGCTACGGAAGTTTTCTTTACTACCCAACTTTAACTTTGATTATTGCTCATTTTGTCATGAATATTTTATCTTATAGACAAATAACCACGTTTTCAGGGGCTTTAAAGGCTGAATACTCCCAAATAAATGCACTTTGGATTCTCAAATGTGAGTATTTCCTGTCTTATGTGATAATAAACATCATAGTAAATATATTTGGGGTTTCAGACGAAGCAAGACATTTGAAGAGGTCACCTTGGATTCTAAGCATTTTTTCTGAGAGACCAAACAAAAGGAAATAATTAACAGATAAAGAAAAGAATTGTTAGTTGCAGCCCTAAACACCTCTACCAGTGGACCCTGAACCCATTTAACATTAGTTTGGATGAGAAGCATGTAGATGCCAAATCTCCGCAGGGACTCTGATGCAACATTGTTCAGAAAGATGAAATGGCACATAATGGGGCTGTCCTCCAACACGTACGGGTGTAAAGCAACACAGTGGGGTTTTTTTCCCTTTTGTACACACATACAGCGTCCCATAGAAAAAAATAAAACGGCCATGCAGCTGCTGGTCTGCATGCGACTCCACCCCTTTTCTCTCGCAATCACAAAAGGAAGCCATAAAACCGTGAGGGTGGGTTTCTTCTCATCATGGAACTTGGAATTAATTGACAAGTTTTGTGTGTAAAACCTTTCAACTGATACATAAAACAGAGACCTCATCAGACAGTCTGTAGCCTCTTGTGACATTACTGCAAAGAACAGTCCATCCGTGTCCAAAGGTCCAAATAAAATTAAAAAATAACAAGATGTATTTGTGAGTTAGCAGTTCCATCTCACACGGGAGATCATGATGACGACGTGGCAGGAAATAGTTACTCTGTACAGTACACGTACAAACTTACATACATATACATGAGCTCTGCTGTGGGCAGGCACAGTGATACAGTAACACTCACGATATCCATGTGTCCTGATTGAAGGGGGAGCAACCTACTTACATTTTAATGCATCAGCCGGTTACTGCTTTAATGGTACTGAGGCAGAGACGGGGGGGTGTTCAAGAGCCGACATATCTTGATATGTGCAATACATAACAAGCGCTTTGAAGATGAAGGTAAACCCTCATTTCAGACTCTGCTGCACTCCTGAGAAAGAAGTGACTTTGCCCCAATTTAATGTGTATGATTATTGCTCAGGTATGATTAATTAATGAAGGGTAAAGCAACTAAAAAGCTTTAAAAAAAAAAAAAATTCTTGCTCACAAGATCTGCAATTTGTCTGTTCTCCTGAGCCGATGGTCCCTAAACGTTTTCATCCAGTTCATGCCCCCTGCGAGACAAATCTCTCATTCACACGGAGCTGTTGAAATGACCCCCCCACCTACAAAGAAGCTTAATAACACTCTAAACAATCACTTAAGACAATTCTATACAGATTTTTCCTCCATCCTCTATTTATAATTACTCTCCAAGTAGAACAGAACAGATATACACACATCCAGAAACTAAACAGATAAAATAAAAGTGACCACTTTATGTTGTGATACATCAAGGCTGGTTGTGTCTTTTCCTTAAACACTGGAATCGAGTTTGAGCAGATTAATCGATGAACCTTTATGTGTGGTTTTACAAGAGAGACACACCATCAGTATTCATCATAGAAAGGCTTCCAATCAGGTCAAGAAACTGCTCATCACAACTTTTCTAACAGGACAAACCTCCACTTAGTAGATAAAACTCACTAGCCAAAGACAAAAAACTGTCACAAGCATCTAGCTGGTTATTCGGACTCATCTCTCATCCCGCTTCACGGCTGGCTGCAAGAAAAGATCTTGGTAAGGAAATAGGACAGGGACGCTTTCTACGAACTGTAATCTCTCTTCAGTTATCTGCTCCAACTTGCTAATATGGCACTTGAAAATGAGTTTAAACCAATCTGGATTGTTGCTAAGAGATTTACAATCTGTACTTATTTAAAAAAAAAAAAAAAAAAAAAAGTTTTCTTTCTTGATATCACAGGTTTAAATCCATCTAAATCTCACTGTGCAACTGCCATCTAGTAAAACATTTCCGTAATGAAATCAAAGTAGGTTCTTTGACTTTGCACTAGCACGATAATGCAACACTGAAAACTCCATGGTGATGTAAATAAACAGAGCTAAAGGGCCCAAATCCGGCCTCTCTTAAAAAAAGAAAAAGATTTCTGATGGAATAAATGGACACATACAGTAGCTGCAAGATGTTTTGCCCTCAGTGTCAGCATCGTCGCGTGCCTTGGTTGTCACTGCAGCAACTCTGATACTCCTAACATCATTCATTCCCTGCTTCAAGGTCAGTTTCAAGTCTTAAGATGTCCCCGCAACGAGCACCGGTCTGGTCCACGAGGTCCGTCAGGAGACAACAAGCAATAAGACATTTAGATCCCACAATCTTTGAAGTCTTTGTTTCCGCTTCTCTCCACTGTACACCCGTCTGAAATTCGCCCTGAGCTCTGTGTCTAATGGTGGTGACCGACGGACAGCACCAGAGGAATGAGGCAACCCAGCACCAGAGCTCCCACCTCCACCTTGCTCAGTCCCTTGCTTCCGTTCCCTCCGGCAGGAGCGTGGCTGTGGCCGCCACCGCCGACCTCAGGGAGGACGTGAACGGTGGCCACGTAGAGGAAGGTGCCAGCAGAGAAGAGCATGGCGACACCGGTGGCGTTGATGTCTGACAGGGCCTCCTTGCTGCTCTGAGGGGGGGGAACAAACAGAAACACTGTGAGGCAAAATGTTTTTAAAAATCCAACAACAAATGTTTCCTTTCTGAATTTCTTTTTTTTTATGTCTAATGAAATCTAAAACATTTCTGGAAAATGTCTCTTGTAAAGCGTTTAATAAAGGGACCCCTTTTCTATCATTCTATAAACTGACATAAGTGACATATTTCATGGATATTTTACATTATATTCAATGCATAACAACAGCAGCAATAGTGAACCCAATAACTGCAGAGGTTTTGGACAAGATTATCGCCTGTGAATAAACATCAGAGATATGTTTGTGAATATACTGTAGCTTCTGTTCAGGTCTTCACTGTGTTCTTATCCTGAATATTTTATAAAATGTATATCTTAAATAATAATCTAAACTTTAAAAATAATAAATCTGCCATGAAACTCCAAATTCTCCAAAAACAGACACAGATTTTAACATTTACCTGACTGAGGCCTAAAAAGGTGAGCATGGCGAGGACGGGTGCTGCCAGGGCGAAGACCAGAAGATGTTTGCGGATGCGGTTCCTCTCAAGACCAGCATGCATCAGGAACGATACCAGGCCGAACGCTGCTGGGGCCTGCAGACGACAGAGCAGCAGAGGTCACATAGGTTCACATTTGCAATGTACGGCGGGTTAGGGCTGAAACTACCGATTATTTCCATCCATTATCTATACCAGCACTCTGCGATGGAGCCGATCTCAGCTGACATTGGGCAAGAGGCGGAGCTACAACCTGGACACCAAATTAACCTATTCACCAGCATGTCTTTGGACTGTGGGAGGAAGCCAGAGCACCCGTAGTGAGCCCACAGACACTGGGAGAACATACAACCTCCACACAGAACAAACAAAGAACCTGTTTGTTGTGAGGCAACAGCGATTACTTCCATTATTGATTAATCTGTAGGTTTTATTCTCAATTAATCATTTGGTCAAGACAATGTCAGAAAATAGTTAGAAGTGCTCATCACAGTTTCATTAATATTTAACTTGCCATCAAATAACCCAAAGAAAAGCAGCAAATTCTAACAGATGTGACACTGGAACAAATGAAAGTTGGTATTTTTTGCCAGAATAAATTACTTAATAGTCAAACAATTACTTTTTCTGTCAATCAACTAATTAGGTGTTTCAGCAAGTTCAATTTGTATGAATGTATCCCACACAGCCACAAGACATGAACCATTATTACCTTGTGCAGCATGATAGCTACAAAGACAATGAGCTGAACGCTGGTCTGAGAGGTAGAGGCAGCAGCTCCTAGTGCCACCCCATCAGCTGGAGACAAAAGACACAGTTTAATAATTAATACGACAACATTAACACAATTCTGATTCCAATCTTGTTAGAAAAATAAAAAATAAAAGAGCAACTGCTACTGCTCAAATGCTCTAAACACTCACCTTTGTGTTTCAATTGTCTAAATTACAGCAATTCTTAGTTTAAAAGGAGATTCACTTATCAATAAATAGGCATAGCAGAGAATAATAGTCACCAATTTGTGATTTAGACTAAACATAAGTCTTATCTCTTACAATCATTATAAGAAATGAGACAGTGAGAATTCAAAAGCAGACCAACCTGCAGCGTGGACCACGAGACCCAGGGTGGTGGTGATTTTTGAAGAGGTGACCCTTGCGGACTCTGGATCTGAACCACACAAAAACAACCAGTCGCACACATTTATTCAATAACCATATTTATACGTTAATATGTAAAAGTGGCAATGACAGAGCAGCATCTCCACGCTGAGCGAGAACTGTGTGACGGCTCATGTTGGCAGACTGTTTAAACAGTTTGCGGAGCATTAGCTGCTCGATTAAAAAGCTCTGAAATTGTTTGGTGCAGAGCGTGGGTGCATCTGGGAAGACAGCGTTTGCAGTTGAACCATCTGGGGGTGTGTTTTGGGTCTAATTCAACAAAAATAATTTTCTTCCAAAGAAGATTAGTACTTAATGAAGCTAATGACAGAGCTGCTGTCACCAAGCCCCATTTTCACAAATTGAGTCTCCACAGACTTTCTGGACGGTGTATGGTTAAGAAGTGCTTTAATCTTTGTGTTTGCTGTCCCTTGTAATACCGACCTTCAGTGCTGTGCACATGGGAACTGCCTATCTGGTCCACCAGCAGCATAAAGACGAAGCCCAGGACCAGAGACACGCCGATGCAGGCGTGAAGCTGCTCGTGACTGTGCTCATGTTTCCCGCCGGCACTCAGGACTGCTTCTGCGTCACCCTTTGCCTCGGACGCTTCCACGACTCCAACCTGGCCATGGCTTTGGTGTCCACCTGAGGAAACGCCAGGAGAGAAGAGAAAAAGATTTCTTCACCCTGCTTAACTAAGAGACCATCACAAATTTATGTAACGTTCTCCTGAGATACAGTTGGTGTGCAAATGAACACAAAACAAATATCTGTGCTTGACAAAGTTTGTTACGCAAGAGAACCAGACCTCAACTGGTTGTACTTTACCACATGCTGAACTTTGCTCTGTTTGAAAAGGATTCAAACTGTTTCAAGTCTACACAGGCAAATATTCAACCTATATATTACATT